GGATTTGAATCCTAAGCTGAATTTCTATTTTACTCAGTAAGGAGTTATGAATGTTTTCATCCAGATGCATGCTTTAAGATGATTAATCTGGCAGCAACTGAGATCTTGGGGAGAGCAAATTTTGTGATCTGGTAGGGACCATGGCCAAAATCCAATGAGGTGACTAGTGACAAAGTGGTAAGTAAATGTCACTGTGGCGACTAGACAGCTACTTCCAGCTGGGAGGAGGTGAAGAAGTTATACCTCGAGGAGTCAGAGCATGCAAGCTCAATGGAAGAGTGTGGGTGACAGAGACTGAAAATTCTTTCTATGTTTTGTTTTTTCCTGGGGTTCTTGGCCGGGTTTTAAGGGATTATAGAAGTCTTTTAGTTATTCTTCATGTGTTCTTTTCCCAGACCAATGGCTTTGAGTAAAACAGACAATCTTAGAAGTGTTCTGTCACTTTAAAAAGTTCTACTAAGACCTTCAGTCACGTGCCTTCAGAAATTTCGGTTACATAACATTGCTCTGAATTGGAATTCTGCAGCCTCATGAACTGGAGTCTCATTCTTTCCCTCCCCCACCTGGCACTTTATTTTCTGTGGGTCAGGGTTAGCTTCTTTCTAACCATTGTTGCGGAACTCTTTAAATATTTGGTCTCACAGGTTCTAAAAGCTGGCAGGCCAGACTGCTCCCTGCAGGTTGTGAGACCAAAGCCTTCCAGAAAAGGAGCCAGTAAAACCCCAAGCATGTTAACAGAGTGTAACAGCTGCATGGTGCACCACCCCCATTGCCCCCAACCCCGCCCCCTGGGGCTGAGTGCCCAAGTGCTGAGGCCAGCAGCTCTCAGCCGCTGTGGCCCGTGACCAGAAGGAGCACTCATGCACCGCGTCGAGACCAACTCATAATCGTGGCAGTGGCAACAGATTAAATCACTGGCTCTCAGCACTGAGAACTGGAGTTTGTCAGGGTCACTCACTATTCCCTTCCTTCTCCCAATTTTCCGTAGTGAGAGAGCAAGTTTGGAGTCCACTGCTACAGTACAAATACTTGTTGGTAGCCCTCTGAGTTTTACTATCTAGAAGTTTGTTCTCTTAATAGTCCATACTACAGGTCTCTCTCTTCCAGCATCCCTTTAATACATGATTCTGAAATGTTATAATTCCTCAATATACACATGCATTTATTTATACTCTGCTTTTTTCCAAAAATGACTTAAGGCAGCTTGCAGATACACATATAGTGCAGTGAATTTTTTTAGTTAGGAAATGGGGCAAAAACAATGTATGAGTAGGCAAATTAGGCAACAGCCAGGATAAAGGTTAGTTCACAAAGTTCAAACTACAAATAAAGCCTTGTAGAGGCAAGTTACAAATGTTTTTCTGTGTTTCCTAGCAGCCAAAGCAAAAAGGGAAACTTAATTAAGGGATAACTCAGCTCAAGAGGCGAATGTTTCCTTGCACTGTATTAACTTCTCCCATTAGTGCTCATAAAATGGCACCGAGTGATCAGCTGGGCCCTTGGTCTCATCAGCTTCCCCGCAGTGACTAGCATAGCCATTCACTTGACTTCTTGAAGTCTCCCTTGGGGTAGGCTTTGTGGCAAAGCCCCATGATGACAAGGGCTCCAATGGAGGCCTGTGCAGAGGGTGTTTCAGTATAGTTCCTCACTTCTCCAAAGGTGCTCTCTGGGAGATACTCTGCCACAAAAAAGTGCCAGGAGCAATTAAGTCTGGCAAGAACTTTTGATACCAGCATATAAAAGGCTCTGTAAAGTCCTACAATTAAGAAATCAGTCCAGCATTTCCCAAACTGTTTTAATCACAAGACCTTTTTTAAAAATTAAGATACTTATTTGGAACATTAGGAAACGATCTAAAACATAGTTCAGCAAACTTTCTGTGAAGGCCACATAATAAATATTTTAGGCATACTATCTTTGTCACAACTATTCGACTCTGCCATTATTTCAAAAAGCATGGCTATTTTCCAATAAAGCTTTATTTATGAATACTGAAATTTGAATTTTGTATAATTTTCATGTGGAATGAAATAATATTCTCCTTTTGATTTTTTTCCCAACCACTTAGAAATGTAAAAACCATTCTTAGTTTACAAGCCATTCAAAACCAGTTGGCAGGCCAGATTTGGTTTGTCAACTGTAGTTTGCCGACCCCTGATCAAGGATAATATTTGGATGGCATGTCTTTCCAGCAAGCAAGCCTTCCTGAGTACTCTTCCTCAGAGTTCAGTTTTTTTTTTTTTTTTTTTTTTTTTTTTTTTTTTTTTTTTTTTTTTT